ATATATATATATATATATATATATATATATATATATATATATATACAGGGTGTCCCATTTTAAAAGATGCATCTTGATAATTCTTCAGTCAAGCATATTCAGCAAAAATGTTTCAGATAAAAGTTATATGATTCGATGGAGGACATAAGAAGGTACCATTGGTTTGATCTTGCGTGGCGCCGCCAACGTCAGATCGAGGTCAATTTTGCTTTTTTAAATAGAAAAATATTTTTTATTACGGAATTTTATTCTACGTAAAGAAACAAACAATTTTTGTTTGAAAACACTTTTTATACGACTTCTATTTTTAAGATATTTACGGAAATATCTACAAAATTATTGGTTTTAATAATTTTTTTCTCGAATTCTGTCAACTTTACTGAAAAATAGCGAGAGATCAAAATTATTAATTTTTTTCTCATAGAGCTCTGAGAATTATTTCAGAATTTTTTAATTAATTTTTTAATACTTCAAGAAAATGCAAGAAAATGCAGTATATATATATATATATATAGTTCCCGCACTTCATGTAAAATTCTTTGTTAGATGAAATTAATGGTCTTGAGTCGTTAGGCTCGTTCAAAAATGCGCTCTTCTGTCATCTACGCCAAGTTTCTAATAATGGATTTAGCTTGCACTGTTTTTTCGATAGTTAGATGAAAACTTCACCGTCGACAAGATCTTTAGTGTCAAAAAATACAAAACTCATTTTGAATATCATGCATATCTCTATTTCTCGTTTTCCCGCGTTGCTTATTTTTGTATATTTATTTCCACATTATTTTTTCATATATTTATTTTTATAAATTTATTTTATATTTATTTTCTATTCATTTTCGTACTGTTTATATTCAATTGTATTTAATTTTTATTTTATTCTTACTTCATTTTCTTTTTCCTTTCTGTACTTTATATTTATTTTTATATTTATGTTCCATTTTTTCATGTTATATTTTTCTTTGTATCTATTTTATTTTTCTCTTTGTAGCTCACATACCTTCTTAGAAAATTTATCATAAATTATTAATAAATATTTATATTTATCTATCTACTGTTACGACGCTAAATTCATTATAGCTAATCATCATAGTCAACAAATCTACAAAAAAGGAATCTCAAATATTTTTAATATAAAAATTAAGACTTAAATATACGAAATGCTTTTCTTCATTTATAGATTTAGTTAATCTACTATTTTTTAGTTCTAAAAAATATAACGTTATTAGCTTCTTTCTTTGATATTCATTAAATAACTTATTTGATATTGTATTAAATAACAATATTAAAAATTGCTTTCCTCGCTTCTTTCGCATCTTGTATCAGTTATACATTTTTAATCCCAGTGTACAATGAAAACCATACAAGTAATTAATAGCAAACGCTGAGCGAGTTTGTTTCGCTCTTTTTCAAGCGTATATAGGAACAGATGCACATAAACGACGCATGCAATTTCGGGAGAAACATCGTATTAAAACTTCCGAGCGAGTATTTTCTTTGGCTGATATTTGCTTTGAAATATAACACGTGCTGAATAACGTAATGTAAACAAATGTGTTCATCGAATAGTAAGTCGGCAAACGGAAACTAGCACTGAAAAAATGTTAATGCCTTGTTCTTGAATTAAAACAAAGCAAAGCAAAAGAAAAAGAGCTTATTAATATTATTATTAACACTAGGAAGTTCGGTGACGCCAACCCTTTTTGGATGTTCAAAATCACATTTTGACTTCTTACGATTCTAACATTTTAAAACTCTTTCTGTTCTTCATTATGAATAATGACTTTTAAACATACTCAGAAAGTAATTTGCAAAACACATAGACACTTTATATATTGTAAGCAAATTACTATCATTTTCATAATTTTCCCAAACTTATAATTTTCCATAATTTTCCCAACTTATAATTTTCTACAGAAAAATACTAATTAATACTTGCTGGCTTT